GAGACTAGCCATTTATGGGACAAAGAAATGGGTTATTATCTACTGAAGATAATAGCATTGTTAACTGGACTGATGAGAAATGTACGCATGTTAATGTATTCACTTTGCAAACTAAGTAACATGTGATATTTGTACGCATGTTAAAATATTCACTTTGCAAACTAAGTAACATGTGATTGAATGTATAAAAGAAATTGAAATAAAAAATTTAAAGAAAAAAAAAAGAAACATTTAGCTCAAAACTCAGGCCATTTAATGTGAGCCTGGGCAGCCTCAAAGGAGCTTGGCTTGCAAGGGAGCACAAGGCTCTCTGGACTGTCTGTGATGCCTGTCCTCTGCTAACTGTGGAATCCACAGGGGAGTGTTAAACCACAGCTTACCTGAAAAAGGCTAGAAAAACCATTAAAGGAGAAGAGCCTTCCATTCTCTGCAACTAACGATACTTAGATGAACACTTTGGAAAAAAACCAAGCAGGTAAATATCAAGGGGGAGTCTCTCTACCCTGGTAACCCTGAGCAAGCAATGAAAAAGAAAAAAAAAAATCAGTCATTTTCACTTTCAGGTCCTCTCTACAAATGTTACTGAGAAGGTGCTGAAACAACATACCATTTACAACTGGATAAAAGTTTTCCCATCCAGGACTCCTGGAATTCACGGTGCTACTGATGCTGAAAATCAGCCATTATCTAAAATATGCACTTAGAGAAAACATGTGACAAAACGCAGGCTTCAAGCCCTTCAGCATACCTTTGTCTCTGTGCTTGGCCTCAGGAAATAGAAGTTGTTGATTCACCATTTAGAAATTTTGGTTGATTATGTAGGTGAAAGAAAAGATACAGGGGAGAATTTCCTGGGGCAGGGGAATTAAACTGTAACCTAACACATTGAGAAAGATAAAATTGCACATGTGTACACACACATACACATGCATGCACACACAGTCCCTGACCTAAGAACATGCCGATGCATTTCCATAAGAAACGAATTGCAGTTGATGCTGGTGAAGGCAGTTGTACATTTTATTACTAATAAGTGACAACAGGGGCCTTATTACAAAATATTTCTAAACATACGAAATTCGGTAATGGGACCCCCAGGGGCCAGGCCCCCAAATTGCATACTCTGTGCCGTACATGCGCGGCCAAGTGTTACCACGGTAACTACGGGTGGATGTGAACAGGACGGAATTGCTGGCATGCAAAAATCCTAAAGCCTGCTGACTTTATTTTTAGTCAGAACGGTTAGATTTCACATTTTATCAGCATTTAGCTTGCTTCTGTTTCTTAACAAACACCACACACACGTGCACACTCTCCCGCATGTCTATGGGTTACCATGCAAATATTACATGGAAGTGATAATCACTATTAACGAGCATAATCACCCCAAGTTGGGAGGTATATCATTTACTGCCAGTTTATGCTCAATCCCTTATGTCTTAGAGTCAAAAGGGAAAAGAAGGGGAGAAAACTGTCTGTGATCAGATGCATGCTTTAACAAAGCATATAGTGCTCACGTCCTTCCAGGGTGCTGTTGGTCTGAAATTTCATGTTTTGACAACATTTTTTTTTCTCTCCAAGAACAGAGTATACAAAGTCAACTGTTACCAGAATGAGCCACTGGCTGTTCTCCACCCATACACTTCTGAAGAGCCGCGGCCCCCCACCCCCAGACCATCTTCCAGCTGTGACTCTAGCAAGCCTTTGGGTTATAAGTTGTACGGACAGAAGAGAATCAAGTAATCCATCTCCTTGAGCTCTTCTTTTCTTTGTTCTTTTTTTTCTTAGCAGTTGGTCCTTCTCAGGCTGGCCCCGCTCCTGCCCTCTTGTTTCTCTACAACAGAGGACACAAGCATGCAGCCTGCAGGTCACTTCAGGCTTGCAGATAGGTTTTGCTTGGCTGACATAGAGTTTCAAAAATAAAATAGAAAGAATTGGCTGTCATCTTGTTAAAAATTTGAAGGTTTCATGTACAAATACAGATTTTCAACTTAGAAACAAAGCAAGAAAGGAAGGAAAGAATGAAGAGAGGAAGAGAGGGAGGAAGAGAGAGAGAGAAAGAGAGGAGAGAGAGAGAGAAGGGGAGAGAGAAAGGAGGGGGAGAGAGAGACAGATGGAAAGAGAAGTATGCAGGACTATGCCACACAGGCATCCCTGTTGCCTACAATGAGCTGGATGGCTTCAGCCAGCTTTCCTGTGTTAACATTTCACATGACCCTAGTACAATGATCAAAACCATGCTATATAAAATTGTGCAGTTGAATCCGCACAGTCCTAGTGGCTGATCTATGGGCTTTACCTGCATACCATCGTTTTTTTCCATCTAATGTCTTTTCTATTCCAGGATCCTGTCCAGGCTCCAAATCGCATTTGTTACTTTGCATGAGACACCTCTGATCTGACAATTTGCAAGCCTTTCCTTGTCTTTCATACTATAACTCTTTTGAAAAACACTGATCAGTTATTTTATGAAATGCCCTTCAGTCTGGGTTTATCTGACATTTCCTCATAACGAAATGGAGAACTTGTATTTTGGGCAAGAACACCACAGAACTGACCTACACTTGTCGGTGCCTCACATCAAGGTGAGCATGATATTGACATGTCCATGCCTGCTGCTAGTAGTTCTGATGATGTGGTTCAAGTGACATCTGTCACTCTTCTCCACTGCAAAGTTGACATTTTTCTCATAGTGGTTAATAAGAACCTTGTGGGGAGCTACTCTGAGGCTAAACAAATACCCTATTTCCTTTTATCCAAACACCTATTGATTGATGGTTTCTGCCTACAATGGCTATTGCTGTGGTGTTCATGTAATGCCTACGGTCTTCTTGAAACACCACCAGCCACATGCAGCTTAGTAACTTCCTGCAAGAAAGCTTCCTGTTGCTTAAAACAACCATCTCAGGTCTAAAAATTTGGCCAAGAATCCTTTATTTAGGTCAAATAATCTTCCTGAAGATTAAGTCAGGAAAGAACTTAATCTTCATGATTAAGTCAACAAAGAACAACATTCTTCCAACTTTGTAAATTCTTTCCCTTTTCTTGGTCCTTCTGGTCCATAATGAACTACCAGGCTTGGTGTAGCCTGATGAGTGGAAAGCAAAGAGACACATAACTTCCCATAAAGCAGACATTCCTGTGGGATCTATAAGGACCCCACAAAGAATGTGCATGAGCAAAAATTTTGCAGGACAGCTGCAGAAAATATGGGGAGTACCAGGTCTCTTGGCAAGCCCATGATCACATGGACTGTGGAAAGAGCAGTTGCTGCTGAAGTCCAGCTGAATTCTCAGCTTTTTCAAAAGCTTTATTGATGTATTTTTCTAAGCATTTTTGAAAGTCAGTTTTCTGAATCTTTAGGATACAAATGACTCCAAATTTTAAATACATGTGTATTTTTGGGGAGAGGTTTTTCCTATAGGACACATGAGCTCACCAGAAAGACAGAGATAGAGAGAAAGCAATAAATCACCCCCCAGGGGGGATGGCCACACTGCAATCCCTTCTCCTCCATTCTCCTCTCAGGATCTTGATCATGCACGCACACGTGTCAGGTGTGACTCTAAGCCTCCAGGTCTGGGACTCAAACCGTGGTCGACTGCATGGGAGTCCAGTGACATAACCATTATGCCAACTGCTGGTCCCCAAATTTTAAATATTTTTAAATAATACTGTTAGAGCAAAATCTGTGCAGGTCAAACCAAAACTGTCCATGAAGTATTTTCAGTCTGCAGGCTACAAGTTTGTGTCCTCTGATAGAATTCTTTTCAGGGCCAGTCAGTCACATGGTAGTTAAGGTGGCTGGATCCTACATGGCTGACTGCAGTCTGAGTCCCAATCCAGCGGCTTGAAAAACCCACCGTGTGTGTGTGTGTGTGTGTGTGTGTATGTGTGTGTGTGTGTGCACGTGCCCAAAATCCCAAAAGGAGAAATGGAAGAGAAGAGATTCCAGCATAGCCATCTCGCATGGTAGGTATTTTTTTAATTTTCTCTCTCTCTCTGGCCAGTGTACCCATGCTCCTCTAGCAAATTAACAAAACACAAACTCTTTATATAAGCCAAGATCCTAGTCACTTTGGGAGAAGTCTTATCCTACATGAAGGATATTTCAGCTCAAAGAATATTTATTATTATTTTTTTAATTTCCCCAACTGACCCTTGTGGTCTGCATCCCATGTAACAGGTGGAGTTTTGGATGCATTAAAGCCTGTTTAGTCAAAGGAAATTCTGTCAGGTTAGAGTCAACCTCTTATATTTGTTCAGCCTCAAACCCTGACTGGAGCTATAGAAAGTGAGTTAAAAAATCCAGCTTCTCATATGGCAGTGTTTTCCATTCTATGAATTATTTCTCTACTCTACTATTAAGTTGCTCCTCCACCACCTCCAAGGTTGCCAAACCTACCAATTTCTTTGTCCATTTTCTAGACTTACATGTTAGGTCTCCCGAGCTTGGGAGACCTCCCTCAAAGTGAATCTCAAGTCTTTGAGGCTTTATCTTTGGTTTTATTTAATTCATGAGTGACTCACTACCTCTTGTCCATTGCATGAAGGAGATATTTGCAAAAAACTTTAATGATTCCTTGCTGAAAATCAGCCTACAGAATGTCACCTCAATGATGGAATGTCAAGGTCACAGCATAGCATGTTCCCAAGAGGGGGAGCTCTAGAATAAGCTTGCCTGATATTAATTCCCCTCTCTGTCTCTTGTGTTTCCAGGGACAGATCACTTAGGACCTCCTGACTCAGTGTCTCCATCTGTAAAATAGGATTAATATTGGTACTCACTTTGTAAGATGGTGGTTAAGATTAAGTGGGTCAGTATAAGGAGAGTGCCTACTATACACACATGATCAGAGGAACCTCAATAAATGTTAGACGGTTTTTATTACTTATGAAATAGCAAAAAATGCACTTGGGAAATGGAACAAGATGGGTAGACAAGAAAACAATGCACTGATTGAACTGAAAGAGAAAGTTTTTATTTTATTTTTGTTCTGAGCTGAAGGAAGAACAGAAAGATCCAGTCCAAACTTCCACCTTAAACCAAGCTGGCATCTCTTGTTTTTCATCTTTCATGTCTAGAGCCTCTGTCTCCAAAGACAATTGTGAAGGGATTGTGTTTGACTGATCAATCAAAAGCAGCCCCTTGCTTGTCTTCTGAGACTCTGAATTAAATCCTCCAGGCAGGATTCTGGGGAGGACAGGACCAGCGAGGAGGCGGGCAGCTACTCAACGCTGAGTGGGCTTTGATGGCAGAAAGGAGCCGAGATAAAAGAGCTCCTCCCAGCAGAGCTGAAATTAAAACAGGAAACATTTCATTAGGCCCAACCCCGAGAAAGGAGCCCTGGGCAGCTAGGGGAAGGCAGAAGGGACAGATGCCACTGCCAGATCTGTCAATTGTAGGCAGGTGACCAGGCCACTGAAAGAGCAGTTCTTCCACATACACTCTCGGGTGGCCATCACTCCAGGCACCACCAAGCACCACTGCAGAAACACCAGCAAGTGAGCTGCTAGCAGAGTTCAGCCTTCACCCCCTTACAAAGTGGGTATCTGATCCCCACCTGCCTGGCTTCGGCCTGCTCCTTGTCTCTGTGAATGAACTTCAAAAAGGGAACTGCCCATTTGTGGGAAAAGGAATTCAAGTCTGAGTTTATTTTGGCGCAAATTTTTTTTTAAACACATAAATCTTTTTTGTTTTCATAGTACACATTTTCTACAAACATTTAGAAGACCCTTTGTATTTATCTCTGTTTAGTGCCTAACGTCCCCAAATTCTTGCGCTTGTCCTAGGCACTCGTCATCACTAAACAACCTTCATTTTGTCACTCCCTAGCAATGGTGTTTCTTCTGTCTGGAGGGCCTGTCCTTTCCTCTGCCTGCCAAGACTATGCATAGTCTCCAAAACCCAGCTCAACTATCACTTCTCACGAAATGCCCTGTAGCTTCTCCCAGCGACGCTTCTGTCTACAGAAGGGCTGTCTACAGAGCTAGCCCTTCCTCATGCTTGGATTTGAGGAAATGCCACAGACCTTGCAGGTTACCCAGGTCTACGGCCTGCCCTTTCACCCCCACACTTTATTTGGAGGGAGGAGGAAGAGCATGTAACTGGTCTGATTTTTTGAACCACGTTGAGTAGGAGAGCGTAAGAGTTGAAAATGCCCTTAGGTTTCCCTTAGTTCTGAGATGGCACATTCACAGCTCATGAGAGTCTGCGCTCACGTCTGTGAGGACACATGCATCACTCGGCACATGCTCTGCTTCTGTTCAACCTGGCCTCGGAGTCCTTATCAACACACTGTTCCAGGCAGCCACACTCAGTGTGTTTCATGAGGGAATTAACCACAGAAGTGTGTCGTCCATGGCACAAGTAAGTACAATCACAGATCAGCCCCCAGGGATGAAGCAGGAAGCAAGGAGTATGACTCCAGGGATATACGACAATGTATAACTGCTCACAAGACCTTATGAATTAATTTCAAGGGCAGGGCCAGACCATAATGCAGCTATAATGCAACTGGACCCAAATGGAAAGGTCCTGGATTTGTGCCCAAGGACTTCTTTCTACATGTAAGTGAGCAGCACATTCCTGTGACCCAGGCAGTCTGGGGCTGAGGGTGGATTGTGGCATGAAAACCCTGATAGGAATGCCTGTCTCTCTCACTTATGGAACAAATAAATAGTTATACTTAAGAATAAATAAATAAATTCATGCAAGGGCAGCCTACCATGGTGCTTCCTGACTCATTTGGGCAATGAAGCTAGTTCCAGTGGCTGGAGACATAACTCAAGTCACTGTTGTAGGGATTCTCAGCTCCTCCAGTTTCTGGAACTAATCTGGCTTGCATATTTGGAGCCCTGGTGGTCTCTGCAATGTGACCTAAGGTGTGTTTGTGAATCCACAGTAACGCTTTCTCTAGGGACAAGTAAAGCCACTTTTTGGTGTGACTACTAACTGAAGAAAGGTAAGTACCTTGGAGGGGGTTAATTGATATTGACTCTGAACTGAAACTAACCCAGAGAGACACAAAATAAACAAAATCAAGTGAGACTAAGCAAAGCAAAACAAAACAGAACATATTTGATTGGGGATATAAGATAAGTCTATGTGCCCCATCTCCTCCTGAACTAATTCATCACCCCCTTTTATATATGATGAAATCAAAATACATAGAGTACTCTAACCATGTCTAAGAACCAGGCCTCTGTCTCTGAATCCCCCAGCTAGTACCACTGTGGATACACCATGTTACACGCCCAAGCAGTGCTTTAGATAGAATAGTATGTATTATAGGCATGGCTGTGGGTGTAAAATTAAATTCCACATTGAAAGCAAAAGTACTGCAAGAAAGCAAGGTTTCTTAAGACTTATGCTAGGTAATTGCATGGGGTATTAATGTGTGCGATGGAGATACCCAACTCTTTCATCCAAGTGGTCTTTTTGGGCTCTTTAAAACAAGACTTAAATATTTTAAATATTCTCATAGGCATCATGACTTTTTGAGAAGAAAATACAGTATTTAGAATTTTTCAAATGCTTTAAATCATAGGACTGTTTTGGCTAGGATCATGTCATGGGAATAATACGTGGCAAAAGCTGCTTGGAAAAATGTTGGTGGAAAGGAAGGAGCAGAGGTTTTAGGAATGGTTTTGGATTTGCATGCTGGCATTGCAACTTACTTGCTGAGCGTGCTTGTACTGGTGTCTTGACCTCTCTGATTCTCAGTGGCCTCATCTATGAAACAGATAATAATGACATTGCAGGGGGATTTAATACATTAACACCCTCCAAGTAACTGACAGTAGTGGCTACTTAATAAATATTAATTCTGTTGCCTAAATCCTGACACATGGGCCTGAGAATGATTTTCTCCTTGACAATGCTAATCTCTTAAATTAAAATGATGTTTTGGTACTGTTTAATGGCTACATAAACATTTTGGCTTTTGTGCCTTATTTATTTTGTTTTTACTCAAAATGAACTTTCTGTGCATGCCAAAGATGATACAATGTATTCATCTAAATCTTTGATTTTTCTTTGGGGAATACAGGAAGTCCCCCACCTCTGAATCTCCCACATCCACTTTACTGAGCCCCAGCCGTCAGAGCGCAGGAAGAATGTGCCTTGTTTCTGGGGCAGGGCCCTAGAAGCTCTGTACCATCATTCTTGGCTCTCCTTCATCTACCAGTATGACTGGTAATGACAGCTTCCTCTTACTGTTTCTCTCCGGTGAGCACATGCACCCTATGGCAAAAACCTTTAAAAAATGTTTAAAAAGAAGAAATATAAAGATCACAGTCACACATGAAACCTCATATTTGGTATATTGGGCCGAATCTCTTACTGTGTTGTCATCGAGGGGGATTATTGAGGGAGCCACCAGGACTAGAGGATTCCTTCAATACCCCCAGTATATTAGCTGTGTTTAAGAAGGGGACTAACACCTCCAACAACAGACCGAAAGTGTCCAGAATCAGATCATTTCGAAAGCATTTGTAGAAGAAGCTTACACTGGGCCCTTCCTTATAGGATGCTTCAGAATCTTTAACTGAGTCATGTATTTGGGAACCCCAGAAAGGAATTCACAATTTCCTCAATTGATTTGATCCTGAAAATTAATCACAAAAAGTGGGGTCTTCAAAAAGTTCATGGCAAGTGCCTAGTACAGAAAAGCCATGTGTAGATTTCTAACTTTTTTTTTGCAACAAAATAAACTCATGCTTTCATTCCATTTTCCCCCAGACTCTTGGGAAGAATGAAGCCGAACAGTTGCCTACATGACTTGGGATTCCTGAAGTCTGGGGTGGAGTTGGCTCTCCTGACCCTAGAAGCATATCTGAACATTTTGTTTCATTTTGTATGTTCCCAGTGCAACATGGTCAGGGACAGACCACCAACTCCCAATGGCATTACGGGATTGGATGAGTCATGAAGACAGCGTGTATCAAGAATACTGACTTTGAAGTGACACTATTCTGGGGTGAAGCTCTGATCTTGACTCATGTGCTTTTATTTTTTTAAGAGAGATTGTTGCTACAGGGCATGTGTGCTTGTCGGACAGAGAGACAGATAGACAGAAAATGAGAAATCACCCCTCCACACACACAACAGGGGACATGGCCATGGTTCACTCCCTTCTACATTCTCATCTTGGGACTTGGGGCATGCTCACACATGTACCCAGTGTGAGTTTTAAGCCGTCGGGTTCAGGACTCGAACCTCAGATGACTATGTGGGAGTCTTGCAATGTAACCATTATGCCATCTGTTGTTCCAACTCATGAGATTTTTAAACCTCAGTTCCTCATCTGTATCTTCTTCAGAGGGGTCACAACTAAGTGGAAACAGTCCGAGTGAATGGCTTAACGTGGTTGTTGACACTAGGAATCACTAGACACATGCTATCATCACCACCACCACCGCTGCGGATACTACGTGGGAATCTCTCACAGAAAGAGTTTTCTTATCTAATTTGCCTAGTAATCAATCAAAAATCCGAAGGGACTGTCTAGTAAAATGTTAAATAAATCCTGAGGAATAACGATGAAACATTCATAATATATGCTCTGCACTAAAACATCTTTACAACTCTCTAAGGGATTAGTCTTTTTAATGTAATATGTGAGGAAATGCTACAGGGGGATAGTATTGATCTGAAGGCCCCTTGGCAGGGACTTTTAAATATGGGCATTCTTTGCCAGAGATCGCCTCGGAGTTCACTGCCACAGAGTTCCTGGGAAAGTCGTGGCTGAGCTCCAGGCGACACTCCCAGGTTGGCTTCGTTTGTTGCCATTTCATTACCCTAAAAGCATCAGAACATTCCTGGACATACAAAATGTAATCTCCACAGAGTTGAGAGTTCTAAAGTGTTTGAGAAGCACTAATGTCATCCATAAAAATGCAAGAAGTTCCTTTTCCCCAAAGACGTTGACTGTCCCCAATTGGTAGCCTTGACAAATGGAAATTTATCACTTCATATCTTGAGAGCTTGGTCCTTGCCTTCATGCAATTAAACTCCAATGCTATATGTGATTTGTTGTTGTTGTTTTATTTTTTGTCAGTGCCTTGGGGCACTGACACTCTCCAGAGAGAGACAGAGAAATATAGAAAGAGACAGGAGAAAGTATCCCTCCCAGTGAGGTGCGGTCACACTGCAACCCCTTGTCCATTTCTCCATCCTGTCAGGATATGCGGCACACATGCACATGTGTCAAGTTGCTAGGGCTAAAATTAGAACCATGTGATCGGCTATGAGCGATCTGACTCCCTTAACCACTAGGCCACAGGACTGACTCCAGTATGTTCTTATTAATGTCTCTTCAACAACATGCTGGGTGTGAAAGTCAAAGAATAATCATTACATGAATTCTTTGAACATTCATTATGGTTTTACTGTTGGCACCTGGGTGCTAAGTACTCATTGTATACTAGGGAGTAATGTAATTCTACCTTTTTTCAGAAGACAGAAACTCAGCTAAAACTCACTTAAGAAAGAGGGGAATGTTTTGAATGAGTTAAGGCTGGGACCTACTTAAGGTACAGCTGGATCCAGAGCCTCAAACCTGGTCTGGAGGCTGTGCTGGCTCTCTCCTCTCTGTTGTACTTCCCTCTTTATCTCCCCTTTGCCAGGTTAATCCCTCCTCAAAAATGGCATAAAGGCTACCAGCAGCTCTTGGCTTCTAATCCTATCTCCCAGGAACAGCCCTGGAAACAGTAAACCCTTCCTGCTGCTTACTTCAGCAAATGTCTACTAATATGCTTTTCTTTTTCTTTAATGTGTTTCTTCCATGAGTGAAAGAGATAGAAAGAGACAAAGGCAGTCGCCCCAACAAGGTCTTGATTCCACAGCCCACCCCTATTTTCGGCCAGCCCTGGTACATGGGCACCTGGATGCCCAGCGAGTTCAGGGAGGATTCTGGATACTCACCTGGAATTTTCCCCTGTGGGTCAGCCTTGGAGAGCGTTTCAGTGCTGCACCACTATCTGGTCCCAAACTTTCACAACTTGGCTTTGATTAGACGAACGTGACTCATGAATTCGCCTCTCAACCAATCACTGTGGTCTAGAGTATAGAAAATGCTAATTGATGGACTTGGGTCATTTTCCTTCACCAAAATAATGTCCCTAAGGAAAATAATAAGCATGATGAAAAAAACCAACAAAACAAAACAAAACAAAAACAAGCAAAAGAGAAATGCATGCTAGGCAAGCGAAAACAACTGAGTACTGCTTCTTGGCTTTTATTCATTATCTTTAATCCTGAAAACCTTGCCTGGCATTTTGTAAATGAGGAGACTGAGGCATAAGGCAGTTAAGTATCCAAATTTACCAGCTATCGCATCTGCGTATGTAAACCCAGAAAGTCGGCTTCCTAAGGCACTCTTAAATGCTTAAACATTCTGCAAAGACAGCTCATGAACCATTTTTCTTACTTATTTCCTGAAGCTTCCATGATAGGAGTGGCAGGGATGGAGAAAACGGGAAGATTCCCGGGGACATTACTTGTTTTGTTCTAAGTCCATTGGACTTTCGGTCTTAATTCAGCTATGTGTATTTCATTTCATTGAAACCTCTGAATCAAGCTATTTCATGATTCTTGGATCTGTTTTTTTTTTCCAGTTAAGGGCTGGTCTATCAG